AAAATCACCATCAGTCAAATGCAAAAAGCCGCACTGCTTGGATCTGCACGCATATTACGAAAATACGTTACGACGTCCTAGACCCCTGGGTGGGGCCTGACTAGTAACCAATGCCAAATCCGGCGAAACAACTGGCCGCTGTGATACAATTGTATAATAATAAAAAAAAAATAATAAAAATAATATCAAATAGGAAGAAAGCAATGTAAAATCTGATCCTTACCCTCTCTGCTTTGAAATCTACAAAAGCACCATCCGCATATTTCTGCTTGCTCAGAAGCTGCTTCCTCCTCTCTTGGCGTTTGGCACGTTTCTGGAATTCCTCATTGTGGCCATTCAAGTGCGTGGTCAGCTCCGCCAGGCTTTGCAGCTTACTATCACAGTGCCTGCACTGGAAACGGGCCCCACTTCCCAGGATGGTAAAATCCCTCTTCAGGTCCTTGCTGTGGTGGTCAGTGTAATGCATGCAGAGCAGCTCGGCTGTGCTGAAGGAGAGCTTAAAGCATTTGACGCACCGGAAGGGAAGCCACTCCATCTCTGGAGCCTCCACCTCCAATTCGGGCTTCTCAAAATCATTCCTCTCTTCTGGGGGAGGTTGCTGCTTTTCATACTCGTCCGCGTACACCGCAGTGAAGTAACCCCCAAGCTTGCTGGCATGTTGTTTCTTAGGGAATACTCCGGGATGGCGTTTCATGTAGTGGGAGACTATGCCTTTCTTGCTGAAGGACTGGAAAGAGCAGAGGGAGCATTTCTTCTTCTCCACCGCCCTTCTCAGTTCCTCGCTTAGCTGAGGAGAGTCCTCCTTGGGGGGTGAGGGGATGATCACTTTGTTGGGTTTGTCGCTTATAGTCCTTGATGCTGCTAAGCAATGCGTGTAGTAAGCATCAATGTCGTGCCGCTTCTGGTAATGAGCAGCCAGACCTTTACGAATAGGGTTTGTGTAGGAACACAGGGCACATTTAAAGAGGTTGTTCTTGCCTTCTGGCTGTGCCCGAACATTGTTGTGTTTTATTCGGTAGTGCCTGGCTATCCCTTTCCGAGTGGAGCAAAAATACTTACAAAGCTGGCAGCGGAACACAGTATGAGAAACCAAATGGGAACTGGAAAAGTGGGAAGATGGCAGTGAATCGTCTCCGAGGAGATCTTCTGGAGTCATCTCAGGGGAGGGCTTAATTTCAGTGAGAACTTCGGGCTCCAGGGAGGCAGAGAATTTCGGAGGAGACTGTGCAAATACATCAAATTCAGGCTGGTTATGGTATTTCTCGTAATGAATTTTGAGCTTCTCCAAAGTGCCATGCGTATAGGGGCACAATTTACACCGGTAAGCACCATACCCTTGCTTGAAAATCCTGCTGGTTTCCTCCACGTCATTCTGGCTCATGTCAGCAGGCTGCTCCACATCATGCACAAAATCCTCTGCCGTGACCTTCACGGAAGGGTGTCTCTTCTGGTAATGTGTAAGAACGCCATGGATGCGTGTGTTAATGTAAGGACAATGCCTACATTTGTACACCGCTCCTGGATTAATATCAATGTCTTGTGCAAAATCTGCAGCTTTCACTTTCATCCCAGGGTGTTTTTTTCCATAATGGGTGAGAAGTCCATGCAAATTGTTATATTCAGACTGGCACACTGTACACTGGTATGGTGTAGAGGATATTGCAGGGTTCACCGAGGTGAGCTGAAGAGCTTTATCTTGGGAAAGGTTTGACTCTTCTGCGTATTCGGTATCTGGGTCCCCGTGTGGCAATGCTAAATGATCCTCTGAAATTATTCTGGCACCAATACCATCCGATACTGGGTTCATTTTATCCACAGCATCTTTTTCCTTGATAATATCTAGTAACACCGATTCATCTCCATTCATAGCCCAAGGGTGAAAAGCTTGGTAGTGATTAGTGATATCCCAAATGGAAGAGGCTTCAAAAATACAGTCTCTGCATCTATATATTTTCATTTCTGATGGTATTAGTAAGGCTGGAGGTGAAGGATCTGGCCCTGCCCAGAGTTTTGTTGCCATATATGTGTAATCAACGTAATGTTCAGGATGTCGCCTTTGGTAATGCACTAGCAGGCCACTGGGTTCTGCGTGAGAATAGATACACCATTCACAGTGATATCCAGCTTCTATTAAACCATCCAAAAACGCCCACCTCAAAATAGATGTGACAGTAGCCTTCAAGCTTGGATGGTCCTTTTTAATGTGCTTCCGCAGTGCGTAGAAATAAGGAGATGTATAAGAGCACTGCCTGCATTTGAGAGCTCTTAACTTAGCCCTTTCTTGCTCAGAACCAGAAGTAGGAATTTGTAAGCCACCCGGGGAATTTTTCTGACCCCGGTCACAGAGGCTCCTGATGGTGGCTGTGTGTTGCCTAATCACATCTGCATTGGCTTTGAAATCACGATGCTTCTTTTGGTAATGAATAAGGACCCCTTTTACAGTCCGGTTTCCATAATCACAGTGCTGGCAGAAGAACATCTCGTTCTCCGCTGGAGCTACAGCACCATCTGCATTGTCCCTATTCAGGTGCTGCATTGTAGGTCTACGAACACCAGGAGGTATCTCTCCAGCTCTCATCATTGCAGCAGTTGGGGGTGCCTGCCTAATGTATTTGGCAGTCACTTTTATTTCTGGGTGCCTTTTCTGGTAGTGCACTAGTACCCCAACCACTGACCGGTTGCTGTAAGAGCAATGTTTGCAGTAGTAAAGCTCAGTGGTAAGGTCTGGAGGTGGTGGAGGTGGTAACGGTGACATTTTGGGAGAGCCAGGTGACCCTAGTTCATAAGCCATCTGAGCCAGGGCAGAACCCCTCTCTACTGACACCACACGCATCGTTTTTTGAATCCTAAAATATGAAGCCTTCTCATCGGGATGTTTCTTCTGGTAATGCACTAAGACAGAATGCATGTTGGGACTTGCAAAGGAACAGACATCACAATCATAAACTACAACACTGTTGACTGTTGATTCTTTTTGGCTTTCAGATTCGGGGCTGTTGCCCTTTGAAGAACTTTTGTTAAAAGCAGCAGGTATGCCACAAGTCCCACGTGCAACTGGGGTCGAAGTAGACAGGTTTTTTGGAGCAGAGTTCAGTATCTCTCTCAGTGTTTGCGATTCTGAGCTTAACCCTTCTTGTTGCTCCACTACGTAACTTGAGAATATCATGGCATTGTTAATTTTAACAGTCGGATGCATTCTTTGGTAGTGCGGCATTAGACTCCTAACATTGGGGCTGGTGTAAGAGCAGAAGCGACAGCGATAGATCAAATCAGAATGATCAAAATTTAATACATTCATGGCTTCCGGGTGATGCTCACCATAATGCTGTTGCAGATCTTCAAAGTTTGTATAATCAATGTAACATTCAAGACACCTATACACTGCACTGTGGTCGTTGGGATCAAGGATATACCTAAAGCTGAATTTTATGTAGGGATGCATCCGTTGGTAGTGAGTGCTGACACTCCTGGCAGATTTGTTGCTGAAGTCACAGTGTTTACAATAGTAAAGCCTTCCAGAATCGCCAAAATCTGAATTCTCATTGTTTTGATCAGATCCATATAGGCTTGCCTGGCTGCCTAGAATAGATGAATTCAGTCCTGGATCCTTCAAACCCACCGAAGAACAATAATATTCTTCCTCATCTTCAGATATAGTTAGCTCAATTTCTGCCCCATTGGTGGAGCTGTAATCATGGGGGATATTCCTGTAGCTGGGCTCTTTCTGAGGATCACCTGGGTCTCTTCCCCATATTTGCTGGGAAGCAAATGCCGCTATTTCCAACAGTGGTTCTGTTTGTTCTTCTTCCTTGTCCAGTTCTACTTCTATTTCTACTTCATTGTCATCCTCTTCCTCTTCATCATCCTCCACATTAATGACTGCATCTTCCTGCTGCTTGTTCTGATTGATTTTGCTTTGCAAATTACTGGCAATCTCATCAATTCTGGTTCTTTTCTTGACTGGGGACAGATCTAAGGGAAAGTCATTGGACATCTTCCTAGAGGCTTTTGCTACAAAGTTGTTTTTAGAAGACAGTCCAAGAATTGAGGTCTGGCTTTTCTTCACAGTGCTGGGAGAAGCATGAGCATCGGGCTCGCTGTCTTGCAGGGTATTTGCTGATGGGCTCTCGTATTTTGGCAAGTTATCGCAAAATGAGTGCTTGTGCTGCTGATGAACCCGAAGGCCTTTCAAAGTTGTGGTGGAATAATTGCACATGGTGCATTTATACGGATGCTGCGAATTGGACTGGGGAGACTGCTGCTGTTGCTGCATGGAATCCATTATCCCCCCAGATTTCCTGCCGTTTATATTCCCCCCTTCGTAGGATACTGTACTTTCGTTTAAAGAAGAAGCTATACTTTCAGTTTGGGAATTCACGGCATCCCAGTCCGATGCTGCGCCAGTATGACACTGCTTATGAGCACCAAGCTTAAAAGAGCTCTTGCAGGTGAAAGGACATTCGTCACATTTGTAGACGGCTGTCTTTCCAGAGAGATGGATGTTTTCAATGTGGCGAGAGATGCTTCGCCGATGCATGGTAAGGAAAGGGCAGAAAGGACACTGGAACCTATTCATAAACCTTCTAAAGGGAATCCCCTTGGTTTCCAGTAACTTGTGGCCCTCAGATCCCATCAGCTGCTCAGCAGTTAGTCCTGAGCTTTGGTGATCCATAGAGTTCAACCCATTCTCGCTGTCTAATTCATTGAGCTCATCATCTGAACTGGAGTCATTCAGCATACTGTTGGTATCCAGATCAGTAGAATTTGCCATGTCACCAACTCCATAGCGAGATCGGTCAGACAAATTAACAATGCCCGAGTTGTGAGGAGCCTTATGTTTCATCTGAGGATAGGAAGCAGAGGAAAATTTTGGAGAGGCGTTGGACCTGATAAGAGAATTGTTTACTGAACTTCTGTAGTTTGGGACAGTTGCATTGGGCATCTCTCGCCCAGAAGCATTCATGGGTATATAGTTAGAGTTTGGGGGAGGGCTTGGGGGACTCTTGTTTACAACATCTGACATGTTGGTCCCATCCTGTTGCTGCCTCAGGTTGGACAGTATTTTTACCATGCTTCGGTGCTTCTTCATCATATGATCACACCAACGTTCCCTTCGGGGCGTCTGGTAGGTACACCATTCACAGCAGAAGTTGCCTCTTGATTTGGTTAAAGGTTTGACCATAGACTCCAAAATGCTACGTTCAACAACTTCAGCTGGAAGCTCCTTGCACGAATCCTGCATCGAAACAGATGTAGAAGTTGATTCAGATATAGCAGCAGAAGAAGCAGGAGGGGTTGAGCTCTCCTTCAGGCTGTTTTTGTGGTACATCTTCTGATGTTTTATAATGCGTGCACGTCTTGGAGATTTGTAGGTGCAGAACTGGCATGAAAAGACCTTCCCAAAGCCCTCGTGCATCATGATGTTGTAGTTTAAGGAACCAGCACCTGTGGATCCAGTTGGGGAGCTTCCAGTCTGAGCACCATGGACTTTCCGGGTATGTTCTATAAGAAGGTTTTTGGATCGGAAATAACGTACACAGTATTTACACTGGAAAAACTTGCTTGCTGATTTGGAGAGCATATGTTGGCCATAATAACCCTGGCTATGGCTGTAGTAATTGCCAGTTCCCAGCTGAGCTGCATTTTGCCCTAAAAAAGAAGAAAAAAATAGTAAATATTATAATATGCGTACCACAGTGCCTGTTATTTGTTTTTCTTTTCCCCCTTCAAAGCTGTGTTTCCTCCCAAGGTATTTGGTTCATAAATACTAGATAGGATGTTAAAAATAAAACCCCAAAAACAAAATTAAAAAAAAACCCACGACCTTATTCTTTACAACTGTCTTCCAGGGAAAGATAGTAATAAAAGCACAATTGAAATTGAAATGTAAATACATACATAGATACACATTTTTAATGTTAGTTATAGAGTGCTGAATTCATATATATTATTTCTAAATAATTTAACCATCCCCCACCCCCAATAACTACTTAACAAATAAGGATAAAATTCCAGTACAAGTTAGGCATACGTACCATACGCACACAAACACAAACTTCCCAAGTCTTGTTAGCAACAAAAGGCTGCTAGCAACTAAACTATTAAAGTTGTTCCATAAAATATTTATCTTTAAATGCATGCATACTATGAGTTTCACATACAAGTGTCTTTCTAGACATTGTGTTGTAAATTCTGAATGTAACAAAAGAAAAAAAAGTCTGAACAAAAACTCAGCAGCCCTGGAGGGATCAATCCACCATATATGGCTATTTTTCCCCTTTTTCAACCAAACCATAATGAACATATAACAGATTCCTTGATGAATACTTCTTGGAATCTACATTCTTAGTCATAGGGTATGGTTGCTTCCTGTTGAATATGAGTAACACAGGTGTTAGTTTTCCTGCAAAGCAATTCCTGGTTATTTTTATCTGTCATAAGATTCGGATATGGCGATTAGGATGGTAATGTGAGACTGCTGCAATGGGATAACTTCTCAGAATGACGTTCCAAATAGAAAGTTACCTGCCATCCCATCTGCCACTGCAAATTCATCTTTTACCAAAGAATACTCCACCTCAGCCGGGTCACTGTTCATGGAACCGAATCTTGATGGGCTAGGAGTTTCTTCAGCAACGTCCGTGGGCTGCAGAAATGCAGTATGAACATCCTGGATGTGAGCTTTAAGATCTTCATAGGAAGGCGCTCGAAAATCACAGCCGTCACACTGCAGCACCTCCATGATCTTTGTTGCTAAGCTTTACATTAGGAAAACCTGAAAAAAGATGGAGAAGAAACATATTGCCTATAAGAACAGTTTACAAAACTGTTACAGCAGCAGATTCAGTACTGAGCAAATATGGGAAAAGAAATATTCTCCAAGCACAAGAAGTACAGCATACCAGAACAGTAACATTTTTTTAACAGAAATCTGGAACCTAATGTACTTTTGATACATTCAAATATGTGACTCATAGTTACTTTATGCAGAAGTCTTGCCTAATTGCCCTTTCTACTCTCACTTTACCTGTTCATCAATCCAGTTCCAAAGAACAAGGAAGCATCTATTGGAAAGCCATCAACAATAAAATGCAAGGGGACCATTGTTGAAAAAGTTTTAGAAAGCCAAGCAGATTATTTACTTAAGACATTTAATCCCATGCTTCCTCCAAGCTTACGTGGCACACATATTATACCTTATCCAATTTTAACCTTCTTAACAACCCTGTTAGGCTGATATCTGCAACTTGTTTAAGTTCAACTGATGTTGAGTTTTAAGTTGGTACAGCCACCTCCTCTCTCATGGTGAGTCCAAACTTTTAACCAAAGAGTCTTTAAACTACTTCCCCCTTTCCGATTTACTACACATTTGATATTACTAGCTATTACTTAATGTTGTTTTATGTAACCCCTCTCAACTCTAGAGCTTTCCAAATGTGTAGGGCCAAAATTGTGAAATTCCAAGCTTGCAAGTTAAAAGAAAATGATAGCCTAACATCATCTAAACCTCCTTCAATAATAGAAAAGGAACTTTAGCAAGATTATATATATATATATATTTCTCCCGGTATTTCAGACCTCATGATTTTAAACGTGCTGATTAAATATTTGATCAATTCTATAGTTTCCATTCTTCTGAGAAATTATCTCTGAGTAGGTTGAAAATATGTAGCAGACTAGGATAAGATACCGACTTATTTTCATACACTAACTGTATGCTAGCTTTGAGTAATCCAGCAGCTATTACCTTAATGAGCTGCTTATTTTAAAGTCTCCTCACACAATTCAGGTCATATTTAGTCTAGGAGCTCCACCAGACCAAGAGATGGAACAGCAGCTCAAATGAGCTTTGAAAAAAATCCCATCTTCTCATTGTCATGTAACATGAGGTGATGTTTATCAAATGTTCAAAGCCGACCAGTCTGCCACCCGTATTACAAAGAAAAAGTAACACTACCAGGATTCTGCATCAGAAGAAAATTCCTCTCGATGGCATGGTTTTAAAAATGTGGACCTAATAAGCAGAAAACGCACACCCACGGCAATCTCTTGGTGCCCCACTTCACCTTCCTCTTTGCCCTGAAAGGCTGAATGCTGGCCCTGCCTCCTTTTCAGCTAACAATGTTAACAACAATCAGGAGACTCAAAATCTTTTATGTGCAAGCACCAGACCAGACTGTGTGTGGAAGAGGTTGCTATCTGCTCTGGATCAAATTACAGCAGTGAACACAGAGGCCCCACCCCATAAGTCTCCTTTTGCACAGTCCATTAGACCTGAAAACAATCTCTCTTTCCCTCCCCCTTCCCCCAACCCCTTTTGCCATGGTGCAGCAGACGACTCTTCTTGAATTCAAAACGCTCCAGAGGAAAAAGCAGGAGAGGAAATAATGAAACGGATCTTCTCACTGTCCATCTTCTTAAACCCCCCCCCCCAATCCTCAGCATAGTCTTTTCATCTACCGGTAAGTCAAACAAGCCACAGCTCTCTGAATGTGTTTATCACACTTTCAAGAGATATGAGCTCCTGCGTCACTGACGCTTTAAGACTCACTAAGCTGTCCTAGTCCTCTGAGCTTTAGGAGGGAGAGAGAGAGGTAGAGGGGGAGAGAGAGAGAGACAGACAGAGCAGCCATTTTAGCTCAGGCAAGCCATGTATTAAGTAAGGGAGAGATAGGCTGAGAGCTTCCAGCCTGCACACAACATGGCTTCACTTATCTCAGCCTCATCTCCACCACACAATATTTTCCATCTTCTCCTTTGCTTTCCAAGGCCAGGGTTAGAAAACAGATTCCCCCCCCCCCCCTTGAAGGGGAAAGAACAGATGCCCAAGTTCAAGGTTGCAATCCAACCAGCTTTTTTCCTCCTCTCCTTGAACAAAGCCATGGTCAAAATACCTCTGAAGGTTCTTCCAACCCTTAATGATCCATCAGCAACAGTCTTTGCTTAAGCAAAAAAGATCTGGCCAGGTGGCCTCCCGGTCCAAAGCAAAGCAAGAAGCAGTAATGCAACCAGATTGTTATTATTATTACTATTGTTATTATTTCAAGACAGGATGGATAGAAGAAAGGGAGGCAGACGGAGAACCAGGAGAAAGAAAAGAAGAAGAGGGAGGGGGAAAGCCTTCCACAGTATGCGCTTTAACCTCATGGGAGTCATTCTTCTATCCACAGAAGACATACCATCTGACTCTGCCTGCCAGATTCCAAAGTCTAATGACCTTTGTTAATCACCAGCCAAGCTGTCTGCTTAGCAAGCCTTGCCAATAGGCACACCCTTCAACACAAAGGCTGCAGCTATTCCTTTGGAGAGAGGTTCTCTTGAAAGCTCCATTGTGTGTGGAAACCAAGGGGAAAGAAAAAAAAAACGGGCGGGGAATCTCTTCCTTTACATACCGGATGGAGTCTTCCTTTAAGGACTGAAAGGAACCAAAAGAAAAAAGAAAAGAAAAGAAAGAAAGAAAAGGGGAAGAAAGAAGCAGGACTTTCTCTGCTGTGTTCCTCCTTGTTTAGAAAGTTCTCACATCAGCTTAGGAATCATAAGGAAGAAGAGAGAGGGGTGGGGGAATAACAAATGAAATATCTCCCTACAAGGTTAAAAAAAGCAAGTGAGAGTTGTCAGTACCACATGGTTGCATTTTCTTGAAGCTTCTTCTAAAGGTTATTAACTCTGGCTTGCCCATGAGTAAATCACTCAGACCAAACACTCCACTTGTTCTGTAGCAAAACAAGAACGCAGGGTAATGCAATTGTCAACTATTAACAAGGACAACTGTCCCAGGACAGATCTGGCTGAACTGAGCAGAAGCTCTGAGCTGAAGAAAAAGCACACCTGACACCTAGATTCTCATAGCAAGATGTTGCTGGCTCAGCTTTTGTTTGTTTTAAAGGAGATCTTTCTCCCCGCCACCCACCCACCCACTCCAAAAAAAAAAACCAAAAAAAAAAACCAACCATGCTGGAGGACTGTGTGCATGCATTTATTTAACATATACTCTCTTAACTTTCAAGACAGTGCCTCTGACTTTAATAACTTTATGGCCAGTTACATCTGAGCAGTCTTCAGTTTCATGTTTTCACCAAAATCTGAAGAAACGATTTCCTTATTATTTATTTATTTATTACTTCTAGAACATTTGAAGGTAGAGATGAGCTTCCTCCAAAGGCCTTACGTGGTTTCAGTGGTCAAAATAGTGTGTCTGTATTTTTCTTTGTCTAGGGAAGATAAGAGAGCAGGGAGAACCATCTGTCAGCCAAAGAATGGAGCTTTTCACTGCTGATGTTAATATGCTGTCAAGATGCACATGAAAGAGAAGATATATGGAAACAATATTGGCATGTTTGTCCATAATGACAAAGGCAGCAGTGGCATACTGTCCATATTATTATGGATTATACAAAAACAAAATAATAAAGAAACCCAAAAGACTAAGAAAGTTATTCAAAACCTGGCTGCCAAACAAAAATTTGTTAAAAATTTGGCATCCAAAAGAAAATTTATGCCAACTTAAAAATAGCATCATTGTTATTTGTTCACAACAAGGTGAAGTCACAACTACCAGTTCCTTAACTGGTGTTCAACTTCACATGCATGAAATTCTTTCCAGGAACCTAGGATGTTCTGATATTATCAGTGTAGTATATATGCAGATCCAAGCATACTGGCCTCCTGCAATTGACAGATGGAAAGTGCCATCCAAGAATTTTTGGTATGGCACCCAATGTGCCAATAAGCACTGGGGCCACCATGGATGTCTTATGCCCTGATTTTTCAATTACTCTTATTTAATAAACAACTACTTGCTTATTCCTAATGCAGGAGCGTCAAACTTGCGGCCCACGGCTGGATGCATCACGTGCTGCCTCCACCCCCGCCAGGTTTAGCGAAGGGGGGAAAGTCCCGATATATCACGTGACAACACCGTGACTATGCGAGTTTGATATCCCTGTCTTAATGCAACCATTCTAATAATTAGCATTAGGTAACATTTTGGAATGATTTAAGTATTGAAGAGACATTAAAGAGGTTTGCAAAGAGCTTTACATGGCACTGAAGCAACCATGTATGAGAGCATTAATGTACCACATATTTTCTAATCCCATTTAGATGTTCACTTAATGTGGAGAGCTCAAAGTCTAGAGCAGTGTTTTTCAATCTTAGAAACTTTAAGACATGTGGACTTCAACTCCCATAATTCCCCAATGGCTGGGTAGAGAATTTAGGGAGTTGAAGTTCATGTAGCTTAAAGTTGTTAAGGTTGTGAAGACTGGGGTAGGGCACAGGGCTCAGCTCCATTATCAGTCAAGTGGAAAATCTGGAAAGGAAATCATATTTGTTCCAATATAAGTAGACCTATCAAGGCAACTCAGAACTCTTATTTCTTTCAATTCCTGATCATACAGAAAGCTATACCTATAATTCAGCAAACACAAAAATAATTTAGGTCTCCCACACATTCAGATAAATACTTAAACAGCATTTTTCTAAAATTCTAATTCCATTTTATTTGCATTCTAGATTAAAGAATAATAAAATTGCTTCCAAGTTTAGAAACTTTTTCTGTTTTTAAAAGATAACATATTTGAATATTGTAACGTGATGTAAAAAATTAGAGATTTCATAGAGGGAAACAAAGAGTAAAAAGATGTAGTGTCCCAACCCTGATAGACTTCTATGTATCCCAGCCATTGTTTAAAATTACTCAGTATGTGAAATCTTTCAACCTTCAAACACAGGTCTTCTTACTTAACATGACAAAACACACAGACAAACACTAGAATTGATTGGGGAATAATTACAGTTTATTTAAATAAAAATATGCTGGTCATTTTTCTAATATCCATCTCAAGAAGTATCTCAAGTTCCATATAGGAGGATAAGGAAGGAAGGAAGGATTCTTGGTGAGAGAAAAACTGTTATGAATCCTCCAAAGATACAATTGTACAGAAGTTTTGCATTCTCCCTACATTTGAGCAAACATCTCTTAATAGAATCCAGAAGGCCACAGCATTGCTCTCATCCCACCCCCCCTCCTTATGCTGGAGAGACATTACCCAAAATAAGCATTGAAACAGCAATGTGATTCAACAGCCAACTAATTATAAATCTTACAAAACCTTCAAGAAATAGAACCTGAAATACCGAAAGCAACATCATACCGAGTGCATTCTTTCTTTTCTGTTCTTTTTTACAATTTCCCTGCTACAGAATTTTTGATTTTAAATCAGGAAACACTAGCAGTCCTAATGCAAAGTCTCCTATTGCTACCTTAGATTGACAGTTAAGTCTATTACATACAGTGTCTTTAGGACAAATTATGTTGACAATTTCAAAAATATTGTGAACTGTCATCTCTGTATCATCCATATTAGATCTAGTGCAAACACAGCACTATCTCATGAAAACTGGCCAATCAGAAACTAGATTTGCAATGGGCAGCTCCCTTTTTAGTAAGGAATTTCCTCCTGCTATCTGGTTTCAACTATGTTCTGGTTCTATGCATAGGCAGCAACAAAATTTGCTCAAAATCATTTGCAAATCTTCTCCAATCCAAAGTTCAATTGAAGAACATCACAATGGGAAACAATGGTTAATGGTTAGTGTTAACCGTGACTGTTCGTGTGTGTGCAATTCTAGAATGCTTCACAAGTAAAGAACTGATAGAAACCTATCTCAGTTTAAATTGCACAAAACCAACAAATGATAGCCATACTAAATGTTAATTGTACCTTCTCATTATAGACTCACCTTAAGTTTTTCTGGGCATGAAATATTTAGAATATTTAGTCTGATGACTTTATGAAAGTAATGGAAAATAGCCCTTTGTAGTAGTGCTGAGAGAAACAGAGAGGAAATGGGTGACAGGATGTGACTATATAGCTAGAAAAGCACCCAGACTTAGTGCAGTGACCTTGAGCCCAAGAGAAGCCTTAATATGTGGAGGCCAACTGCCTCTGATAGGTTTAATGTGGTGAAGGAGCAGAAGTAAGGAAGGAAGTAGATTGATAGCTAGTTAAAAAGAGCTTATGAATACTGGAGCAACTACCGGTACCAAGCTGCAATTTGTGGTTTCATGGGAGAGGGTTGAAATTTCCTAAGGTATATATAAAGAAGATCATACTTGAATATCTAGTTACTAAAAAAAAAAACTTTAAGAAGTTTTTGTATCTATACATACGAACAAACTCAACATAGGTTTGAGACTCCTCAGCAGACCTCTACAAACACTGTTACAAAACCAGGGTATTACTCCAAAATTAAGAGATGTTCTCCTTCTGATCAACTTGACAAATGGTTTTGCTCTTAAAGGAAAATTCCAATACCTCCATTCAGAAAACAACTTTAAGCGGTTGTGGTGGACAGAAGAGTAGACTTTTCAACAGAACAAAACTTAAGATTTGCATGAAAGGTTGGGATATCTTTTACTGAAGGCCATCAACCATACAAACAGAAGCAAATAAACATTGAAGTCCTTGTTGGAATTAAACTCCAGAATTATATAATACAATGTGTGCAATAAGTGCTGGTTTGGATATAACATGGGTGTGAATTTTGTTTGTGTTGCTTGACAAGGAAGTAGATAATATGCAAGTGGAAATCTATTCATGCAGGTATATGTGGTTAAAGATACATGATTATAAACATGCTGGGAAGACAAGAAGTGAATATGTTTTATTCTAATACTTCACAAGATGTATTAAGATGTACAAATCCACTTTGGGTCCAAAGTGAGAAAAGGATTCTCAGGATTTCTGTTTTCCAAAGGAATGTATTTCTTTCTTATTTTGCTTTTCCAAAATAAATATCTTTCAAGAGAAGCCAATATAATTAAAAAGAAGCACAAAAATGTTAATACAATCAATTAGCATTTTTAAAGAGCAATAAGGAATGTTAAAAACAAGAAAAAATGTAGATTCATTCATGCCTAGTGGCTTGGCATCTTGATCTCATCATTTAATCATTCAAACATTTTGCATTGGGCTCTATTAATTGCATTATTTTTAAAATCTTGTTCCACAGCTTTTCAATTATCAAACTATATTAAAATTAGTAATTTTGATTTAAAAATGAACTGTTTTTAAAAAGGTATGAAATGTAGCTTAATACCATTTTACAGACCAAAGAGTGAAATTAAAATAAATGTTTTAATTTGTATCTGCTAAAAAGCAGGAAAGGAGGATACAGATCAGATAATATTAAGAGGGAGAGTGCTTGACAAAGTAAGATCTCAAAATCTTAACTTAATGGATATATAAGATATGGGGCTCTCCTCTAGACACCAATAAAATAAGACATTGGAAAAATCATAAAAACTGATTATGTTCAAAATGTTCATTAAAAACTTCTGATTTGTGAGTTAGTGGTATTTTATACAGACTTACTCCTTTTGCTGTGGGAGGGGAAGAATTCTATTCTCCAGATGTTATTTGAAGAGTTGAAACCTCCTTACAAATCACAAAATTTGTGATTGTGATTGATTCAACAATTAATTTCTACAGCATGCTTTATATAGTGTTATAACACTATGGTGTAGAGCAGTGGTTCTCAACATTTTTTTCACCACGGACTTTAAATACCTTTTGTGGCCATGGACTCCCAAGACCTAATTCAAGATTCAAATCATAACATTTCTTCAAACCTTCGCAGACCCCTTTTGATATTGTGGGCCACCCAGGGATCCACGGACCACAGGTTGAGAACCACTGGTGTAGAGCACTATTCCCCAAGCCTGTTGCACTCCAGTTATAAGATTTCCATAGTTATGATGCCAAGGGTGAATTGAGGTTTAATCTAATACATCCGGATGATGCCAGTTTAGGCAAGACTAATATGTATGGCATAGAAAACACTACTTAACCAGTCTGTTGCAAGGAAATTAGACTTGTGGCTGCAGTGGGATAATTGGTGAACACTGAAACAATTGGGATGAAATCAGGTTTCAGATCTCTACAGGGACAATACTACTTCAAGTTCAGTGACTATATACTGTTTGTTTTTCAGATGCAGAAAATATAACAGAATGTGATGCTTCCCTTGAAAATCAAGATATTAGGGTGAAAATTAGTTTGATAAATCTGGACATCATATTGCATTCCAGTATGAAATGCCAACTTGATCCCAACAGCTGTTGTGTAAAAGCTCAGGAGTAAGAGAGGAATCTTCATTGCTTTATTTTATTAACATAAATTTCAACACAAATCTACTTCAGAGGAGATATGCAAAGAATTGTGCTGTGCCTAGGCTGTATTTCTTAATCTTTGTCATATGGACATCCCTTTGTTTGGGTGTTTCCCCTGGTTTCATATTTTGTACTTGAATGTAATGTCGTAGGATGTATGTATGTATGTATGTATGTATGTATGTATGTATGTATGTATGTATGTATGTATATAAACGTACTGCTTCCCTTTTGCCTTTCACTTCCACTCTAGGAGCCTTCCAGGCAGTCGCTTACACAAAAAACCATTTTGTGTTACATTTTTGCTGTTAAATAAAGTCTCCATTTATTTATCAGCAAAAATGTAACACACACACAAACACACACATATATGAATATGACAGACAAATACACACATTTTATTATGGTGTTGTATTAACTGCATTAGTATTTCTACCTGGCTCCAAAACTTTATCTTTTTCATTCATAATAATAAATTATTTGATTTTTTTAAATTAAAAATGGAACTTTAAAAAAAAAGGTATGAATTGTAGTTTAATTTTTCACATCAATAAAATAGTAAATTGTTACCAATTAAAAGTAGCTATAATTAAGTCTCATCATGATCAACACAAACTTATACTAACCGCTTATATGAAAACGAATCAAATTATATTCATGCAGAGCTACCAATATATTCTGTCTTTCATCTCATAAAACTTATTCTATCCAGGCTAATTAACAGGTCTGAACTTTTGAAAGTTATGGACTTTCAGTTTCCATTTTTCCTGACCAAAATCAGTTCTATGAAGACACAAACTTGATGAGGTCAGTTTATTCTGTTTTTACATGCTGCTGGAGCTGGGCCAAGTAAACCAGAACACATAAGACAATAAAGTGAGAGAACAATGAAGTGCAAAAGAGGAACAGAATTCATATTCAGCTGAACTTGAAACCTGTCACAAATAAGGAGCATTACCTGCTGCTTCCTAAGTGAATAAAATCTATTATCTAAGAATTATGAAATTCCTTCCTTGATGTCATAAAATGCTGGAAGAAATGCCAGTGAATCTGCTTCAGTGTTAAGATCTGTGCTGTTTTTTTAAAAAAGAAACTATGTAAAATGCTTAAACTGAAATCAGTCTGAGAACATTAACAAACAGAATTTATTATCAGCAAGTTTACTGGGGGGGGGGGAGGGAGTGCTGGCTAACCTTTTTGGCAGTATGCCACACATGAAGGCCAAAGTTTGAGATAATTCAATTGTAATGCAATCTACGCACAGCCCCACGTTACATGAGTCAGAAGCAAGGAACAGTCATAGAAGAAAACACAATTAGGCTCAATTAGGCCTAGGAGGCTTCATGTCTTATTATTGGAATGCCACTAAATCCTACAGTGTCTCCTGTTGCAGGCTGTAGGATGAAGGGTCTAGTGACAATGTTCTTTAGGGTGACTTTGTTGTTGGCCATTAGCTCTGATGGCAGTGGGACAGCCACCGAAGATCACCTGCTGGTTGACTAGTAGGCTTCTTGTGCCCTTGATTGGCCACTGTGAGAACAGACTTCTGCACTAGATGCCCTGAGGCCTGATCCAGCAGGCCATTGTTCATACACTTATATTAAGATAATTAACTCAGCGCTGAAAGGAGTGCATTTTCCCCCCACCCCATTCCTGCTTTGAGTTACTGGAGCAATTTAGGGCCTTGGTCAAAACAGATTTCAGGCTTTTCTTTTGCATCCATATGTCTCCTCTCAATTATGATAACAGCTAACTCAGTACGTTTAAATATGAAGAAAATCCAGAATAACATCATTATATGATATGAATTAAATATTTTCATTAATGTGATGGCAATTTGATCCTAGATAGGCAGATAAACTCCAGACAGATATGCGCATGTGCGAACTGTGGATGGCTGCCGTTTCTTCCTCGCTCCGACTAGGTAGGCGAAAAGACACTAAAAACACCACCGAACCTAGTCAGAATCGATGCGGGAAGGAGCCTCAACGGTAGAGGGTGATCCAGGGGACACGAGCGGGCGGTTGTTGGGGGGTCGCCGTTTTTCGAGCGGCTCCCAGGCTATGCGACCGCCCTCGGTAGTCCTTTTACCATCTGGTTGTAAAGGAATGGCGGCATGCTGACAGCGCCGTTTCCCAGCGGTTTTCAATGGCCCCAGCGTCCTTCGATCACGCTGTTTGATTCCTCGACTGGGGGAAGCCTTGAACTCAGACTCATAGCGAATTACCATGCCAGAGAGGGGGTGG